GAGGCAGGGGTGCCTGGGGAGGCGGCGGCAGTGGCTCGCGCCCGCCGTCACTGCAGCCCGATGGCGACGTTCCCATGTCTCCCGGCTACCAGCAGCCGTTCTCCGCACCATCGAACCAGTACGGCGGTCCCGTGCATCAGCAGCCGGGGGCGCCGTGGGCTTTCAATCCACACTTTCCACAACAGCCGCAAGGCATGAACATGAATATGGGCGGCATGCCTCCCATAAGTCCTCCGGGTGGCGGTATGGGCTATGTGCAGCCGCATATCAATCCGCGGTTCGCGGCGCAGCTGGGTTTCAACATGAACTGGATGCAACAGCAGCAGCAATTCATGCCACAGCAGTTTCCGTTTGGACATGGCGCACCTGGCGCTGGTCAGCAGCGGCCGGGGTGGTACAATGGGCCACCAGCAGGCCATCAACACGATCCGAATGGCGGTCAGCAGCAGTAGTTTATTCGTATATGTAGGGCGCGTTTGAATATCCGCATGTAAATGTTCGCGTAGCCATTCAGAAGAAATACAACTTGCATTCGCCTTCCAGTGCGCGCCATACGCCCGGCACCGTGCTCGCCCATTGAACGCCGGATAAAGGCCATCGAAACCGACCGCTAATAGGGGCCGGCACGAGCTACGGATCCGCGTCACCGACGCGACGAACGGGAAGTTGATAGGGAGCGCGACTTTGACCGCGGACTGAATGCCGCGCAAAGTGGCCGCCCCAGCGCCGCCGCCGCCGGTCGAGCTGCCTGTTGCGGGACCGTCGTCTGCGTCGCGTCGGGCGTCTGTCGAGAAGCGGCGTTTCCAGCCAGCGCGGTCGAGGCGGGGCGGACCCGGCGTCGGGAGCACGCCCATTGACGAGATCATCCTCGACTCTCTCAACCGCCGCCGTGCGTGACTTGCTTTCCTTTCCTGGAACCGCATAGCTCATACCGTCTGCCGCGACAGATGAATCCGACCCGGTCATCCCCCCGACGACGCGCTTCCTGCTCACCACAGACTCGAGCGCCGCACCGCGCATCAAGCAGCCCAGCGCGCCCGCGAACGCGCCCAGCGACCGCGGCGAGGGCAGCTCCCGGTACTTCGAGCAGCCCGCAGTCGTCGCCGCCGCACGCGCCCAGCGCGAGATCGAGACGCCCGAGTTCTGGATGCTGCCCGAGCACGCGTCCGTCGGCGGTCGCTTTCGCGCGCGCGCCTCCGAGGATGTGCGTATATTCCCCACCTCTCAGACTCGTGACTGACGCGTGATATTCCTTGGCTAGGTCGGGGCAGACACGTCTGACGCAGCGTACGAGAAGCGACATCGCAAGTACGAGACGTTCGAGAAGCGGCAGCGGCTGAGGGAAAAGGAGAAGCTCAAGCATGAACACGTCCGTTCCCTTTCCTTTTCCGGATATATGGTCATTACTTATGGACTAGTACAGTACAAGCTCAAGGAGCGCATAGAGCAGCTACGCGGCATGGACCCCTCCGCCTTTCTATCTCTCGACCCCAAGCTTTTCGAACGCGATGGTGCACCTGCAGGTGAGGAGGATGCCGATCCTGCGTCTATGGACCATATCCAGGCGCAAGCTGAAGGCGAACGCCGTAAGGTCGTGCTGCTCCGGGTCGCCGAGTCGCTCGAGGAACGGTACTCCACGCTGTTGAACCCCGACGCACACAAGGCGTCACAGAATGCTGCCTTTGGGAGCAGTGTCGACGGCTTCTCGCAGGCTGACAGCGATAAGGACGACGAGGAAGTCGCTGAGGACGCAGACGAAGCCGAGGTCGACGAAGACGATGTTCTTGATCAGGACACCGAAGACCAGGAGATCGGCGAGGAAGACGTCGATGAGGACGAACCGGCCCCGACAGAGGATGACGACGACGATGTCGACCAGCTCGACGAAGATGTTGACGTTGACATCGAAGAGCCAGAGCCTCCTCCTCCTCCACAAAACCACAGCACAAAACTCCGTATTCGCCTACCAGCCCGCGGCTCACTGTCGCTGTCCAACACTCCCACACCCAAACCGCCTTCTATATCCTCAGTCACCAACAAGAAAGCCCCGCGAGGGCCGCTCGTACAGACCACACTGTCTGCCTCCGCTCCTCCGCCGTCCGGAACTCGCAAGTCTACACGTTCGACCCGCGCTCGTCCCATCTCAAATGGCTCTGCTCCCTCAAACGTCAGCCCTTCCGGCCCTTCACCCCCACACAAGCGTCAACGACTGTCCGAGCCTGTCGACGACCACCTCCCTTTCCCCGAGACTGACTGGCGCAAAAGCAAACTTTACGTTTTCGCCGCGCAGAGTGCGCCCGCCCTCGCGGCCCGCAAGCCTGTACGACACCTCGTAGCCTTCGGAGTCAAACTGCCCGAGATGCCGCACGAGCAAGAGTTCGAGGTACCCGACTTTGCATGGCCTGACAGTGTGCCGTGGGAGTACGTCGACGACGGGGAGGACGACGAGGCGATGGTCGAGGAGGTGGTCGCACTGGAGGAGGACGGGGATGAGGCGGGTCCGCCGCCGCCTCAGTCTGTGTCGGCGTCGAGTAGCGGGAGGGTGTTGAGGCATCGCCCTGAATCATGAACTCGAACTGTCATTTCCCTTTCTCTCTCGTACTTGCGCTCCTAGCATATCTTGTTCATTACCCCAGGTTATTATTATTAGGTATCATGGCGACGACTCGAGAGTTCAATACAAAGCAAAATGTAGTAAAGAAGAGCGTTATGATGCAGATATCTCAGCTAGATCCAGCACAGGTATGAACTTCTCGCTGTCCTAAATCAATATTCCGTCTTGAACCGCTTGGGCCCTGGCAGAAGGAGATGAACGTCGTCGCCACCCTCTTATCTATCTAGCTCACCTCGTATGTCCTCCACATCGCGCCCACGCTTGATTGAACCTTTTGAGAACCCACTCGAAGTTCGCGGAAGAAAAGTCCTTCCACCGCGATCTTCTGCTCCACTGAACGCAACCGGGTGGATAGGATCCTCCTGCTTGACCGAGGCATCGTCCTGTTTGACGGGAGTGTCGTACTCTCGTTTGATAGCCATATCCTCTTGCTTCGTCTGCACAAGCGTAGCCGAACTTGATGTAGACGCACGACGACTCTCGTACTCTTCGTGCCTCCGTATCTCGTCTTCTATTCCGTCAAAAACGACTTCAGCGCGGCGATCGCGGCGGGCATCTAGCTTCGATTCTGCTTGCAGGACCGCTTTCACCTCTTGTTCTATACCGTCGAAGACTTGGCCAGGTCTCAGATCGACAGCCCTCGCTTCAGTTCGATGGTACGCTTTAACTTCTTGGTCGATGCCGTCGAAAAGTTGGCTGGGTCGGAGGTCTTGCTCAGCTTTAGGTGCGGCGGGGTGGGGATGCTGGTCTGGGATAATGTGGGGTCGGTTGGGCGCTTCTCGTTTGTCGTGAAGGCTCACCTTGCGGGACCAGCTTAGGAAAGCTAGACCGCTTGATAATCTGGTTCGCCTTTTCCGAGACTCTCAGGTTCGTATCGGTGCAGTTTGAGTCTACGAGATGCGGGCGTGGATATGGCTGCTTGAAGTCCGCAAGCATCCCAGGGCCGTCGAGATGCTCGGCGAAGACGCGTTGGTGGCCTGAAATTGCCAGTATGGTTATGGCATGAGGTGCCGAGTAGATTTTGAAGACTTACCCCCGGCGACCCCGGGGTCATTGCAACGCTCGAAGTCGTACTCGACTATCAAGGTTTCTTGAGTCAAGAAGCCTTTCGTCGGGTTGCACAGGATCTCGCGCCAACGGTGCAGCCCAAGCAGATGCGGATTCTCAATATCCACGTTTTCTAGCCTCAGAATCGGTTCCGAACGCTGTACGATATTCCATACGTGCGTTAGAGGATAGAGAACACACCCCGTCGAGAGTGCTGGACGCACACTTGCAACTGTAAATATCTCGACCACTGGGTTATCATCCCTGCTAGTGATAGCAGATATCCAAGCCTGTATGATCTTCCCGTCCGGCGGGCCTTGTCCACCATTCTGCTCCACCCTCGGAGGGTTGACCAATATGACGTATGTTTCGTCTTGTGGTCGAATGTAACGTTTGGGCTTCTTCGCCATAGTAGATTGCAGATGAGGTCTAGAGTAGTGACGAGCGGCAAGCCCGTACACGACGCAAATGGAACGACAGCTACAGTATATACTCGAAGGCGACGGTCGGGAGTGAAACGCGTGGACTCGAACGCGAGACGCGTCCTGGGCAACACGCTCACGTGTAGGTTGGAATCAAGTTCCCCGAAGGCCGTTGAGGCTCTGAGCACGACAAACACTTGTATTGACAGCCTGGCAGTCGCACAAAAGTCAGACGTGGGTGCATATGATAAGGGTGGCGATACATTGGATGATCCCATTAAATACTAGTAGAAAACCGATTGAGGCTTCGGGTATACTTCGGAGGGTCTAAGTATCCCCCGCAAGCGAGATACTCTATGTCATCATGTCTGTACACAACTAGCGTCCAGCAGAGAAACAGAAAGGTAGGTTGGGTGCTGCCTTCGCATGCGCAAGCGATTTCGTTGTCAACGAAGACCTTAATATTCTGCCTTGAACCGCTTAGACGCTGGCGATATATGTGATGAGCATCGTCGTCATCTATGCAACCGGTCGGCTTACCTTGTATGTCATCTACATCTCGCTCTCGTTTGACCGCAACACCGATCCTGGGAAATCCACTGGGCGGAGGGAAGGTCCCTCTACCATGATTTCCCGCCCCGCTAAGCCCAGTTGAGCGTGTGTGATCCTCCTGCTTTGCGAAATGCGCATCTGGGCCCGCCTTTGGTTGTAGTCCAGTGGGCGACGGCGAGAAAGTCCTCGTATCTGCCTCTTCTTTCACTCGGACTGAAGAGTCATTGGAGTGGACATTAAGATCGCGAGGTGCGAACGGCTTTACATCCTCGATCGACTCTGCCTGTGGTGTCGAATGGACAGCAGGAGAGCTATCAAAAACAGAAGTGTTCGCAGCCTGGAAGGCTTTCACCTCCTGCTCTATACCGTCAAAGACTTGGTGAAGTCGAGGGTCATCGCCGCTTGGTGGAATGCCTTCCTGCTTGACTGAAACGGCCTCCTGCTTGACGGGTACATCTTCTTGATTAACCGGCGCGTCCTCCTGTTTGAGAGATGTAGCCTCCCGCGTCACCTGCACAGGTACAACCTGGCCAGACGCGGTAGCACGAGATCTCTCGTATTCCTCGTACTCCCTGATCGTGTCGTCAATGCCATCAAACTGAACCTCACCGCGGCGGTCACGGCGGGCGTCCTCCCTCGCCTCTATTTTGAGGGCAAACTTTATGTCTTGATCTATGTCGTCAAAGACTTGGTTGGGTCGTAGATCGGCGGCCCTCGCCTCGGACTTGATATAGGCCTTGACATCCTGATCTATGCCGTCGAAGTCTTGGGTGATTCTGGGATCTTGTTCCGCTTTGGGGGCGTCTCCGTTCTGTCGATCTGGTCCTGTGATGGTAATCAGAATAGCGGCATAGCGTAGTACCATGTGGAGATGACCTGAAGGTATCCTGAGTAGGCTCTGCGAATCGACTATCTGCATAGCTCTTGAAGAGACGCGGAGTCCCAAGTCGTTCCGTGAAAGATCGACAGGGTGCGGATGCGGATAAGGCTGTATCACGCCCGCGTACATATTAAGATCGGGATCGGCGAGGTCAATAATTTGATACTCTGATTATATAGATAATTGGAAAGCTTGCGACATCGGGTAGAAATGCTTACGGATATTCTTAGGGTGATTGAAGCGCTTGACGTCGTACTCCGCTATCACGGTCTGCTCGTTCCATAACGGACTCTTTGGTGTCAAGTCCCGGATGAACTCGCGCCAGCGGTGCAGTCCGAGTATTGGCATAGCCTTGAGATCTACGTTCTCCAGTCTTACGATGGGTTCTTCGTGCTATATCGCGGCGCATACTTAGTAGCAGCCAGACCTCCATGTTGCACTACGTCTGAACTTACAGTCTTGATAACGTACATCTCGTTCGCCACACCGTTCGGTCTTTGAGCAATGGCAGATAACCATGTTTGTATATGTTTGACATTGAGTACCACTCGTCCGTCCGGTAGCTCTTCCCTCGGAGGGTTAATGATCACTACGAACGTCTCGTCCTTCGTGGGCGTGTAGTAGCTCTTGTTCTTGATTTTTGGCGGTTTGAGAACGTGCTTGTTGCCTTTGCCCATGACCAGTACAAGTTCTTATACGGAAGACAGCAGAGTAGTGCCAGGCAGGCAGGAGCAATCCGAGATGATGGAGGAAGGCAGACGCGGGGTTCGCGTGTGGACGCGACTTTTCCCAGTTGGGGATCACGCCCACGTGTGCGTGTGGCCCAACGAAGGACGTTTGTGGTCTTGGATTCGGTCCACTTACCCCATAATGTACCTTTGTCTTATGTGTTTTTGATGTTCTACAGAAAACACGCCGTTTGAAGAGAGCGATGGTTGAGATAGTGCATTAGAATGGAATAGTCATAAGTACTCTAAGATCGCTCATTTGTCCCATCTCCCGCAGAGCTTGCTCAAGCGCTGACACGGGCCTCACGCGCAAACTTCTCAACAACATCCAGCGCCTGCCCGCGACGCGCACTGGACAAGTAAGGGCGCAAAGTGAGTGCCGCCTTCGCATAAGCGACCGGTTTCCTGGGCTTGTGAAGCCCAGACAGGGCCGAGCGCGGCGCCAGACGCGTGTAGTCACCGCCGTAACGTTCGAGCATGGGTCGAATGCGAGGGTCGACGACGATCCTTTTCGAGCCACGCATGACGACGCGTTTCTTGACCCTGCGAACGCCCTTCTCGACCCGAACCTCCGCCTTGCGCGGCTTAACCACTAGCGTCTCGGGATGTTCTTTGGGTACATCCAGTGCGCGGAGCACTTCTGCCTCGCGCGTCGCGGGTGCATCGGGCGACGGTGAGCTGAATACATTGCCGAAGTGGGCGGTCCGGAATGAGCTGAGGCGAAGAGGAATGGCTTTGGACGCCGCTCGCACAGGTCGCTCGCGAGCAGCATCAGTCGACGCCTCGATCGAAGCTTGCTCTGTAGAAGCGTCGGTCTGACGAAGTCTCTCGCTGCCGGCCTGCTTGACCCTGTCGTTCAAGGATCCTTCATGCCTGTCCCGGCGCTGCCCGTCACGCGGAGCAGCCTGTCGCTGATTATCCCTGGGAGCACGGCGCTCACGGGAGTCTTCATCGCGTCGCGGAGGGCGAACATTGAAGGGATTCGGCTGGCGACTCATGATGCGAGCAGCGGCATCTGGGTCGGCTGCTTGGCCCTGGGGTGCGGCAGCTGCCGGGCGCGGGTTCCGTCGAGGACGAGAGGGTTCACGCATGCTGGTGTCCAGTTTCACGCCATTATCTATATTCATAGTAAGATAACGAGAATACCCGTTGACACGCAGTCAGAACGAACCTTTCCAGACGTTCCCGCCGCCAATGTCCAACCTCTTTGGAGACTTGATGTTTTCTACAGAAGGATAGAACGTCAGTGTCAGGTCTGTATCACCCAATATAGTCTACACGTACGAACTTCAACTCCATTATAGGTCGTTGAACTGGCATTGTTCTGCATCCTGGCGAACAAGCTCGAAGAGAAAGACGAGGCGGGCTTTGGCTCAGGAGCCGCATTTGAGTTGTAGCGAACCCTGCTACATGAGCGAACAGCCGAAAGCGCTGCAGGGTCATAAGGAACCCGAGATATAATAGTAAAGCGCGGGACGTACTCGGCTTGCGAGCGGACTGAAGGAGCGACATGGCCGTCGGAGCGTGAGCTGGACTTTGCGCGTTCGGCCCGACGCGCTTCGCCTGCGGCGCCGATCCGCCGGGACGCGCGCACAGGGCGCGTAGGCGCGCACCGCCCGCTTACTGCATCTTATTTCCCAACCGCCATGGGCCGCATCCTGGGCCGGATAGTCGTCGGACTGACCCTGTCGCTCATTGGCTTCATCGCGTACTCAAGTCAGATATTCATTATATGGCCGTGGTACGGGCGTGAACTCTCGGTTTCTCTGCTCGCTTTGCTTGTACCCTTCAAGTAGCCTTGACTTTCAGTGTCGCGTGAGGGACATCACTTACTCAAGCGTACAGTGTACTCGTTGGAATGCTCCTTTGGAACTACTGGCTATGCGTGACGACAGACCCCGGCACCGTTCCGGACAATTGGGTGCGTTGTTAATGCTGGGAATGTATACCTTGCTCATGCCATCCTTAGCGGCCCGACGTGAACGCCGAGGACTATGAAGTGAAGAAACTGACGGGGGCCCCGCGGTTCTGTCGAAACTGTAACAAGTTCAAGCCGCCGCGCGCGCATCACTGCAAATCCTGTAAACGGTATGTACCAGACATGGTTGTGGCTCGCTCGCGCTCCTGATCGCATTGTCTGCAGCTGTGTACTCCGCATGGGTGCGCGTCTAGTCTGCGATCAGCCGAGTTCTTTTGCTGACTCATTCCAGACCATCACTGTCCATGGGTTGACAACTGCGTCGGATTCTACAACTATGGCCACTTTCTTCGGTTCCTCTTCTTCGTAGATGTCTCCTGCACATACCATGCTATCATGGTCACGCAGCGTGTGTTATCCACTCTGAATATGTCCTACTGGGTCAGTCATGCACCGGTCTTTCCCGTACATACTGCTGATGCTCTGAACTCAGGAAGGTCCTGGAACCGTGGAGTTCATCTTCATCATTCTCAATTTTGTAACTTGTATACCCGTGCTTCTGATGGTGGGAGGCTTCAGGTCAGTCACACTGTCGGACTTTTACGGTGTTCATTAGCTGATGCGCCTGTCCCGAAGCCTCTACCACTTCTGGCTTCTCTCTGGCAATACCACGACTATTGAGGGCTGGGAGAAAGATAAGGCGGCGACACTCATGCGAAGAGGCAAGATACGAGAGGTCAAGTTCCCCTACGTGCGTCTCATTTTCTCTCTGTACAATACTGTTGTCTTACATATTCATCTAGCACCTGGGGTTCCGCAGGAATCTCGAGTCCGTCCTCGGCCCAAACCCCATGCTGTGGTGTTATCCTTCCGTACCGCAAGGCAACGGCCTGAAATTCCAACTCTCCGATACAGACGGTAAGTCTTCGCAGTGGCACGAGCTTGCGCGTCACAAGCATCGCCGCTCGTTTGACGACTACGCCTAGCGCTATACCTGTGAGTGTACTTCCTCATCATCGCACGTACTACGTAATAAATGATCCGTAGGTTGCTCATGCGTTCTTTGCAGGTGTCACCGTGTATGAAGATCAATGGCCCCCTCGCGATCCAAGCGCGCCACAACGAGACTTTCAGCTGCCGGACTCCCCGTGGACGTACGAGAACGGGTCTTATAACCCAAGCCTAGCGCCATCTAACTCTATGCGCCGCCGCGTGGGAGCAGGGGGCGCCGATGTGCCGCCGTATCATCCAGATTACGAAGAATCGTTGGACGGGGAGTACGTGGCCGCAGGCTACGATTCGGGCGAAGATGAAGAGGACGATGATGCGATGGAACGCTGGGCGCAGGCGGACTTGCCACGTGTGAGGAGAGGCTCGGAGGGGTACGAAGTACGCCCCATGGACCGCGAAGAGATCTTGGCGCGGTATGTAGCCAGTCGCGGTGCCGAAGTTGGGAGGTACAGGCGATATATACCTGAACCGCCGAGCGAGGAGGAGTCGGAGAGCGAGGAAGACGAGGAGCAGCCTCTTGCAGATAAGGTTCAGGCATGGCGAGCGAAGGCTGAGACGGACAAGGCGAAGTAGCGTCGATCACTATCGGACATTGGATAATTGGGCCTGGGCGTGATGGACCATCTATTGTAGCACGCATTGTTATGTATGTCTTAGATCATCTAATCTATATAGCTTATCTCCCCTTGACGGTGAGTCGTGCCGCGCAAGGCTAGCCCCTTCGTTTTCTACCACCACCTACCCCTCTCCACGACATGGACTCGGACGACGAATTTGACGACGCTCGTCTAGGTATCGGCGTTTGCGAGGACAATCGATGTGTGTGTGGTCTGCGCCCGGTGTTTATGCAAGTCAACTGACCTTTGAGCATTAGATGACTGGATCTTTCGCGACTCGCGCCTCAGCATGAAGCTACATGAAGACAAGATACACGAGCACGTGCGCACCTTTCATAGAATTCGCACGTCGCCGACCGCGGACGATTATGGTCAAGAGAAGAACATGCTTTGGATATTCCATCAGGACCGTCTTCTAGATACGCTTATGGGTTATCATAAGGTGACCATTGCTCTCGGTCGCGGGCCTCTGCCGGAGAATTGACTCGATCGCGCAGGGCGAGCTTGACATGACTGGGAGGCACCCCGAGCGATATAGACGCTTGATGACCCGTTTTGTTCAGCTCACAGAACAGTTCAACAAAGCTCTCGCACGGGCGACATTGACGTCGGGAAAGGAGACGTGGGGAACCGGCTCTTTCTCTCGTACTCATACATGGCACGAGTATGAGTTTGAGGATCCGAAGGAATGGCAGGCTTTCTCAGGGCGGTGGCATGTCCCTTTCGGGTCAGCCTATCGCTTGCAGACATGTCTGTGTAAGTGGCTTCGTCCAT